GCCATGGAGCCAGGAGGCTGCAGGTTTCTGTGGGGTCAGCTGTAACAGCACATCAGCCAGTCTGCTATACACAATATGGTAGCAGAACAATCATAAACTACTCTTAAGACCGCTATTTTAAAACAGGCCCTGTTTAATTGTAAAGAAGCATCTCAGAAAAACTAAAATTCAATCACACCGGCAGCAAACTCGGGACTTTGGGCAGCATGCAATGCAGTGCCGTGTCCCCTTATAGCGCCGGCTGTGGATGGCCAGGCCAGTCACGGCCCCACAACAGCAGCACTCGCAGCTGGGAGCATTAGGGTACAGATGCTCGAAGCGGAAGGACTAGATGATCTTTTGAGGTCCCTTCCAATCTCTAACATACTGTGATACTGTGATACTGTGAAGACCGAGGGCTCTCGCGGGCCTGGGTCTTCCCCTGCTTGCTGCCCGCTGGGTTCTGTTTCCCGGGCCAGTGCCGGCGGCAACGGCTGCGAGGAGCTGGCTCTCCCTCTGGAGGCCTCCGGCTGCATCAGCCGCTCCCGGCCGCTTGAGTGAGAGCCGCGCGGCCGAAGGCGCTGTCGGGGGAGCCCTGAAATGGAGGTGCGGTTCGGATGCTCAGCCCCCACTGACGCTTCCACACTGCTGTAGCGGCACACCCGGAACCTGTCAGCGCTTTAGAAAAACTGCCGTGGCAGCTCATACAGCTACGGCAAACGGGAATAGCTGAACCCTGTTGCTGCGATACTTCATGGATGTGGGGAACACAGCAACCAAGCATTGCTTCATCATCTTCCCTTCCCTGGCTGAAACACCATAGCCCCAGCCCCTGAACATGAAAACGGCTCTGCTGGGCTGTGCCAGGCCCAGCTGCAGAGGCAGTTCCTACTTGTTCACTCTGGGAGAAACTAAAACTACACAGCCTTTATGAGCACATGTATGACTGCTTCTGCAGGCCATCTGTGGCACCCCAGGGTTCTGGTAATGCTCTGTTTGGTCATGGCGAAACCCAGCTCCCCGTCCACAGCGAAACTGTACTCAGCCTCCAACCAGCCCCCTCGAGAGAACCGACCCTCTCACGCAACATGAACCTGCCGTAAGGACCCTGGGCAGACTGCTGAACCAGGATGATAGTCAGCTGGTAACACTGGATGAGACCCAAGCACTGTTTTCCTGGATGATGGGGAGACAATGCTGCAAACAGGAATCATTCCAAGCAAACTCTTATGTGCAAGAACCCCAAAGCACAGCAAATTCAAATGTTTTTGGGGGCCTCACAGCGCACCATGACTCCTGCCATAAGGAGGAAACAGCCTGCCAGCCCCCTTTCCTCTCACCACAGCAATGGCATAACCCTGTGCATCAGTACAACTTTGCTCTACTCTCAGCGGAGAAAGGAGGCTGGAGCAGAGCTGTGACAGGAGGCAGGAGGGTGTAACACAAGCTGCACTGCTACGCCACAGCCCACGTGTCCTCCCAGCACATCAAGCCACAGCCTCCAGCAGCTGCCTGCCTGTGCAACAGCTCTGAGAGCACCTTGCAGCATATGGACTGCAGGTGTTTGCCCTTCCACTTTCCAAAGTGTGTGTATTAATTCCCTTGCTTGCTGTTGGTAACGATTGCTGTAGTGTTTGCAATGCTAGAAACTAAGACTTGCTCAGAAGAGTTCTGAAAAACAACCCTGAATGCACATCTTAAAAGTGTGGTGCTCTAGAGTATTTGTGTGGACGTTTTTAGCCCTTTCTCTATAGTGTAAAAGCAAAAGTAAAAAAAAAAAAAAAAACAACAAAACAAAAACCCAAACAAACAAAAAAAACCCCACAAAATGACACCTCCCTTGTCTAGGTTCCAATACAGAAATAAAACCAACAGCTCGGCTTGCCTGACACACAGGCAACAGTCAGATAATCCTGTCCAGTTTATTCTCCACTCAGGGGCAATTTGTTCCTTCTAAAGCCCCTTAACAGCATTTTGCCAAAGCTCCCATCAGGGAAATTGTGATGTGAGCTGTACAAACACTTACTCAGCCATCCCCATGCTGCTTCCCAAAGAGCTTATTGCTCCCCCGACTCCTCTGCCAGCACAAAGAACAGCCATGAGATAATTTGGTGACCAGTATCGATGTTAACACTCAGACTATACCAAAAGCTTTCGCTTCTGGAGAGTTCCCCTTGCTGAGAAGCCCGCGGAGCTCGCACGCACGCTCTAGTCCGTTACCATCAAAAATACCCGAAAATGAAACTAGCTGCTGGGGGATGCAGTAGGACCTAAAAATTGCTTAACGAGGCCCCAGCGAGGATCGAACTCGCGACCCCTGGTTTACAAGACCAGTGCTCTAACCACTGAGCTATGGAGCCGCCGCTCGAAGTTTGTCCTGACTGTCACTAACGGGCACTGAAGCAGCTCTCCCGCGGCCCCCGGGGAAGCTGTCTCCCCGCCCTCCGCCGGAAGGGGCTCGCTCTGAGGCCGGCGTAGCAGACGCCGTCGACGGGAGTCCGCGACTTACCGGACGCTGCCAGATGCTCAGCGCTGCGGCTGCTTGCGGAGCGTCCAGGCCGAAGAACGGTGCCTGGGACGTTCGCAAAACCAGGAAATTAAAACTCGTCGGAAGCGCACACATCCAGTGAAGCAAAAAACCCGCAAGAGGAGAAATCAAAAATAGGCGAATGTCTGAAATAAAGCCTGATTTTTACAGGTTAGGAGTAAAAATTGTCACGACAAAGCCATGTAAGGTGGTGCAGGGTGTTCTTTCTGAAAAGGTTGGGTAGTCTGACGAAGTCTGAGAGCCCCTGCTGCAGCACAGATGTATTGCCCCGGGGGTCCTCCAGCATCATTTGCTTCGTGACACCTCTCAGCACTAAGCATTAACCTTAGAGTTTTTAGCATGTTCTCTCACCAGGTACCTGCAAGCCACGTTCACACAGGCTGTGGAGCTCAGAGAAGATGGAAGCTTCAGGTAATAGCTAATGGGTGTAAGGCAGCAATGCTGTAAGGCCCATTCCGGTGTACTGCATCCAGTGCTGATGCTGGGTACAATCACTTCTAACAGCACACATTAAAGCAGATGCCTTGCAAAGAGCTTTGGTAGCTTATGGCTGGACTGAACTTTTTGTGTGTGTGTATGTGTGTAAGCTGCATGCAGATTAAAGTTATTTAAATTCCAGTTGTATGCCTTTCAGAAAGCAGTATTCAGGGCCCTGACTTGATTCTGTAGTAATATCTGCCTCTATAGAATTCAGAGTTGGATCAGTGGGTGGGAAAAGCATGCAGTGGGGTGGCTGATAAACCTGGCTTGGCTTGGAGAAGTTTTATAAGGAATGTTACACAATGAAATTAAGTCCACAGGAGGATTGGGGCCTGGAGTTACTACATGCCCATCTGTGAACTCAGGAAAGTCAGTGGAATTCCAGCTGGAGGCTGTCGTGTAAGTGCATCAATGCACAAGAAGTCCAGAACATATTTAAGCGTTATTAAAAAACCCCAAATCCGCAAACACCCCAAAAGCCCACAACAACACTTTATGAAAACTTGTTAGATGTTACCATACTGCTCTCTTAAACTTCTGTTGTGTTCTGCTACTACACATCACTGCTAAGGGAGAACAAACAGAAGAGATTTCAACAAGTTCTGATGTGAGTGGACCTATCACCCCTAGGCAAGAGCTGCCCCAGATTCCCAATATAGGGCAAAGAGACCCTCTTCGGACAAGAATAATTGTGCTGGGTTTAGTATTTAATGCCCTTACATCCTTAAGAAAGTACTCAAAAACTAATGGGCACTTCTGCTGATTAAATTAACCTTGGAAAAGCAGACAATTGTGCACTAAAAACAGCAATACAGAATGCAGCTGATTGTTTCAGAACTGGGACTCACAAAGACAGGATTGTACAAAACCTGTGTGAGAGCTGGCAGCACAACTGAGGCAGCTGGCACTTCTCATTTCAGCTGGGGCTGACGACTGAAGTGAAAGATGTTCCTGCAAACACCCAAAGAAACACCTCAGCTATGGTACTTGAGAACAAACCTGAAAGTGGCAGCAACTATAAATGGGAGGAGTAAAGTATATTATGCATTCTTCAATGGAAGCATTATCAAAAAAACCCAAGCCCCACAATAACAATTAGACATAAATTGTTACCTCTCTTACCATTGTCTCAAATGGCTGAATTTAAGGGTTTGACAGCTTCGCTTTTTCTGTCCTTGCTCTCTTTTTATTCTAGGCTCATAATTTACAGCAATAAAATAGGATTGACTGGTTTTCATTTGGTTCTGGAAGATGTGTCAAAACTCTGTAGCAGGAATGCTGAATCTTGATCAAGCAGTAGTTTAGTACAAACATGAGTGGCAAGGTCAGGGATGTCTGAATTCAAGACAGTTCTCAAAATGGCGTTAATTGTGCTTTAAAATTTTTATGTGCTGCCACTTTGTTGCTATGTTCACAACACTTTAGGGACTGTACAGATTATCTCTGAAAACCCCTCTGATTACTATGGAAAGAAGAATCAACAACTAAACCAATAAGTCATTTACATTCCTGCCAGTACTCTTCTATCCCTCCAAACTGCTCTATTTTATCTTCGTACCCCAAACACATTAATATCTACTTGGGAATATTCCTTTAAACACATATTCTTATTTCACCTCAGTATTACGGAGTATCCCATCTTTTTATAAGAGGGTGATTCTTTGCATGTGCAGTCTAAAAATGCTTGTCTTACTTAAGCTGCCAGAATCTATTACTGCAGTAATCACGCCCTCACTAAGTGTACATCACTGCCTGAGCTGGGAAACCCTCCACTTCTTCAGTGCATCAGTATTGACAAAGCTAGTCCTTCAAATAAATTTTTAATAACCTTTTTATATGGTACTATATCACTGAAAGTTCACTGCATTTATTTTTGTCAGTTCAGAAGGCTGGGATTTCATATGAAAGGATTGGAAAGATTTTTCCGTTAGTGCTCTTAATTTTAAGGGCCCAAAAACATTAATGCTGTGAGCATTAATATTCTGGCCTGGTTCTGTGCATACTGCAGCTGGGCTAATGAGAGAAATCAGAAAAGTAGCTTTGTGGATTGGGAGCATGGCCAAATTGCAGGGATCTCCTACAGTCGATGATTTCTCCCTCTTTTTTCATTTTTTTAATGTCACCATACCAGAGCAGTGGCATAGGCTGCCTTTCATGTTACCTGAGACATCAAAGGGAAGTACTGAGAACCTAACTTACTGTTTTCCACTGACACTCATGCCTAATGAGTACAACATGCTGCAGAAACAGCATCCCTGTGCACAAGTGTCACGCTAGCCTTTGTTGCATTAGAGATTCTAGATTACAGCTTTCAAGCTCTTAGAAACTTTGAGCCTAAGTCTATTCACATCTAGCAACATGGTGACATGCGCACGCCTTGGACCATGGACTGGTTCTGCTCCTGAGCTCACCAGGTGATGGCATCCATTAGGACCCATAACAGGAGGCTGTAGGTGGGGGCAGCCGTGCCTGGCAGTATATTCCTCCATGCACCCAACTGCCTTGTTTCCCATGGCGTGTTAGGGGAGAAGCTTCTGCCCGAACAGTCACACAACATTCAAGTTGTTGCACACACACTACCTGAGACTTTAATTGCTGGAACAGGAGTCCCTCTGCAGGAGGTGGCTCCAGTGAACTGACAGGTGCCACTTTTGATTCCTGCCTCACATACACACACTCTTGGGCACTCTTCTTCCTTCCTTCCTCAGGCTCGACCCTTAGTTTCCCACAGTAGAGTCTCAGGCATTCAGTTCCATGGAAAAATAAATAATTGAGTGGTACAGCAAAAGGGACAGCTCAAGCTGGGTGCCCTTGGAGAGGGACCTTGGCAAAGAAATCCCTGGGCAATTATACCCTTAGGATTTATGCGCTTGCCCCTCATTTTAGTCCAGTGGGGATTTTTTGGTCTAGGGTATTCTAACACCTTACTGGATTTTTTCAGTGTTTTCCTACCAGCAGGTTGTTAACTGTTCTTATCTTGTTGAGCTGCAGTTTCTGCTGATGGTTGTAACCTCCTTATCTTCTGGTTTGTGCCTTTTGTGTACCTGCTTGTCAGCAGAGCATGGGACACTAAAAAAGTCTTAGACCTAAAAGAAACATTACTTAGCAACAACTAAAACATCAATGTGTTATCAACATCCTTCTCACGCTAAAGACAAAACACAGCACTGTATCAGCTTCTAGGAGAATTACTAAAATCTAACTCTATTCCAGCCAAAAGTGTATCTAGGTGAAAGTCCACAGCATAGGGCCCAAGGCTTCAGAAATCCAGCTATTCATGCTAAGCAAGTAAAGCTAAGCAAATAGCATACCAGACCACACAATACTGTAACTCTGACTCAAGCTATTTAAAACTTACTTGTTTAAACTAAATAATATCTCTCAACAAGCAAAATCACCAGCACTGGGCAAGTGAAGTGCCAGAGCAGAAGGTTCCTGCTGGAGCCATGATACAAATGTCTGACCAGTAAGTTTCCCGGCAATGAGGAGGAGGCAAAGTCCAAAGGGGAATGTTTGCAGGGTCAGCACATGAGACTTCAAAGATCTGCCCCAGCCAGTTGCCTAAATTCCCACTAAAGTAAGGGAAGAACCACCTCTTCAGTGGTAAATTGCGTGGTCACATCTCTGAAACTTTGTGTACTTCATTCTCTCACATTATACAGCTATAAAGACCACCTGTGTTTTCACTGTGCCAATCAGTTTCCTGAGTGAAGAACGAATTCCCCAAGAATGGACCAAGTGGACTTTGCTTCCTGCAAAAGTGACTGCCAAAGTCTCTTTGTTTCCCATCATAATAAAAAAAAAAGTCCATTTGCATTTCCGTCTTTTTAATACCTTCTGTATTCACTTCCATCACTGGTTTATATTTTCATTAGGAGGGTAGGGCAGGAGGGCTGCTCACTAGGCAGCCCTGTTTTGTATATAAAATAACACTGTAGCAAATGAAAATATCAAAGCAAGTTGTTGGGTTTTTTTTAACAGGCAAGCTGATAGGAAATGATTTCCCCATGGGACAGAGCCCCAGAGCCCAGAGTGGACTTTCCACACCATTTCACAGCTATCCAGGATAAGAACAGGCATCAAGCTACAGCAAGGTTCAACAGGTAATTTTCTCTGATACAAAGTGCATGCTGCTTATGCCATTAAACCACATCAATGCAATGCAGTCAGTATTACCCTAACTCGCCAAACTGCATTAACCATAATGGTTTCTCTCCAAGACTTTAAGGTGATGCATTTGGAATAATAGCTGCATAAGGCTGCTGGGAAGTCTGACTGAGTGTCAGCATCTTTGCAAAGGCTCGAGTACTTCAGCCTTCTTGAAGCAGGAAAAAAAACATCTCCCTGTGAACAAGCAATCTGATATTCATATAAAATACCATATTACCATAATTTTTATTTTGCACAGTGTGAAGGAGTAAAAGCAACTCATTCTGCCATTCCTATGGAAATGTCACTGGGCATTATCAGAAGACCAAGGAAGTACAACAATCTCTTCGAGAGTCCTGAGAGCTCTCAGAGGCCCATTTTGGTTTATATGGAATTTCAGTGTAGACAGTATATTTCACTGCAAGCCATATCACATCTCCAAATCCCTCAGTTACTTTCACTATCTGAGGCAGGGGGTAGGGAAGGGGGGGGGGGGGGGTGTACTACTTCCTCGTTTGATTTCAGCTGAATCCTCTGGAAAGCAGAACATCACTGTCCTGGGTTCAGCAGTAGCAGTCATTTTTTCTCCTTCTTAGTAGCTGGTGCAGTGCCGTGTTTTTTACTTTCGGCCTGGGTACAGCGCTGATAACACCGATGGTTTTAGTTGCTGCTCAGTAATGTTTACTCTGATCAAGGACTTTCTGAGTCTTATGCTCTGCCAGGGAGGAGGGGAAGCTGGGAGGAAGCAGGGACAGGACACTTGACCCAAACTAGCCAAAGAAGTATTCCATACCACAGCATGTCATGCCCAGGATGTAACTGGGAATTACCCGGAAGGGCTAGTTCACTGCGGGGTTGGAGCAGGTATGGGTTGGCACTTGGTCGGGCGGGGTGGGGCGAGTTATCGGTCGGCTGGTGGTGAGGTGTTTTATTCTCTTCCCTTGTTATTCCCCTTATCATTATTATTACTGGTGGTAGCAGCAGTGGTTTGTGTTGTACCTCAGTTACTGAACTGCTCTTGTCTCAACCCGTGGGAGTTGCATTCTTTTGATTCTCCTCCCCATCCCTCCAGGAGCAGGGGAGGGCAAACGGGGTGGTGGGGGGAGGGGGGGCAGGGAGTGAGAAAGAGACTGCGTGATTTATGGCTGACTGGTTTAAACCATGACAATCACTCTACCTATTTAATGTTGACATCCTCCTGTGAACAATGACAGGTGTGAAGGGTTTACGCAAGACTTCTTTTTACAATGTAATAAAAATTCTTATTGTTTTCTACCTGCACTGCTTTTAGGAGGCTAATTTAGAGTCTTGGGGCTATTCTAGTTGCAAATGTATAGTGAGCTATTTGTTCCAGTAATGGGCCCTGTACCAGTAAGACCATAATCTTCTGATAAAACATCTCAGTTTTGGTTGGGAAAATACTTCAAGTGTTCACATGGGACATCCACTGAAACTTCAGGCAGTCTCCTGCTCCATCTTGCTTACTCTCCATAGCAATATCTACTGTAAATTAAAACTCCACCAACTCAATTCAAACAGGCTGCAGGAGTGATGACTTCATGATCACCAGGTTGAGCTGCACCTCAAATCTGATAGTCAGTAGTTCTGCACTCTGTGGTCAGGAACCCCAGTTCTGTTTTCATGAGCCGCTGAGAGGTGGAAAGGTCAGGGCTAAGAAATACCATGGACCATGGCAGCCCAACCTAGGTGGTTAACCTCAGAGTTAACCCCAACGTGAAATTTGCAGATGGAAACAGGTAGCATTTTTCTGTCTGTTCTTAGAAATGAGACCCATGGTCCCAGCTCTTTCTTAACTACAGTGAAGAGTTTGTGAACTTCAGTAGCCTTCCAGCTGTAATTCTGTCTAACAGAAATCTCAGTTTCAAATATCTAGTTATGGTAGTGGAAAAAAAAAAAGGCTCTAAGCCAGAAATTAATTGTTTGATATGAAAAGATCTGGCTTTTTAATTAAAAAAAAAAAAAGGACAAGTCCAGCTTCTGAAGTAGATACATTTAATTTTCCAAATATGGGTGGGAAAGTGCTTTTAAAATTGGTACCCACACATGCCAATTTTATCATTATAATTTTCTTATTGTTAATGTACTTTTTAAGACAATGTAATCATTATACCCATTGCCTAGTTAATATCACAGTGATAGTACTGAGCCTTGAAATATAGCTCTTTAGGGACTCTCTCAATATGCTGGTGCTTTTCACATATTACACTATTACTATTTATTTACACAAATGACAAAAAGATCTATGCATTTATATCACAATGATTTGAATTCTTGTGGAAGAAAAGTATATCTGACGAAAAGTCATCATCAGACCTCCTGACAGTATCTTCAGTGTGTTATTAAGGACTATTCTGTCAAAATGCCAAGTTTCTTGTTTTGAAAAAATCTCAAAGAATTAATTTAAAATTACAGCATTGTACAATACATAAAATCAGTCTGTTTCTCATAAGGCTGAAAGTCATATTTTAGAAAGCATTTATTGTAAGAACTATTTAGATAATGAAAGTAAAGAAAATCTAATTTAATTTTCATATTTATGCAGTTTGTTTGCTTTTTCATTTAATTTTGATTGGACAATGAAAATAGACCACTTTTTTCCTTGGCAATGTCAGTTTTCTGGTTGTCATTCACTTGCCAAGGCTGCAGTGATTTGGTTTCAGATACCTCAGGGGAAAAGGTCAAATCCTGTTTTCAGTGGAGGGGTGAGCAGGTTAATTCTTGAAAACACGTATAGGTAATTTAGTCAGATCAGGGCCTGCATGTGACTGCATTGGTGACGGTCAGACAAACAGCACATACAGACTGCTGTGAAGGTTTGAATCACACATTCCAGTCCTCAAAAGTCAGTGCAAGACCCACCAGAAAGTTCGGCCTTAAGCTGTTCCCTTCCCACACTCACAGACAGGAGGCAGTACTTGGGTTTGGTTTAGTTCCAGGAGCACCTGGGTTTTGCTCAGGTTCCAGAACACAGGGAGCTGACACAGGGACCTGAACTGCCAGTTTGGGTCCCAATAAGGCAAGCTCAATTAGTTCATCTCAGTGACTGGTTCTGTCTTGTTTAGCATGACAAGCAGAGCTTGGCTAAGTGAAGTTGCCTCTGGAGAACAAGAAAGTGATCCACAGCTGTAAGGAGAGGTTTTTCAAAGGTGTTTTAAGACCTAACTCCAACCAGTGGGGTGCAGGCCACTGTCCAAGTTAGAAGTCTACTTACCTGTGACAATATGGACATTAGTTCTTGGAAGACAGTTAAGCGCATGCCTCTCATTTGTACAGTTACTGTTAACTGGAGTAAAAGTCCACATTCAAAGGTCCCTGTCCTTCAGTGAAACAGAGCTACAGACTCTATCTCAGTAATGGGCTGAAGCTGTATCCGACATGCCCTAGTTTCCCGGGGTCTGGATTCAGATTGTCTGGTTTCAGTACTTCTTTTTTTTTCTTTCTTTTTTTTTTTTTAATCCTAAATCCCTGAGATCTTCCAGTGAGGTAAAAATCTAACTCAGTAGAATCTGTTTTCAAGTCCTGCAATTGCTGAGTACAGGGACATGAGGGATTACAGCTAGGATAATCTTTCAGTTTACAATCCTTCCTCTTGGAGTTGTTCGGATTGTAACAGGGAGATTTTATTATGGTTTAATGATAAACATCCTCATTCAGCCAAGGCTGTTACAAGAACCTGATTTCTTGCAGATTCTTATACACTAGGGGGTGCAAACATCCTTTTAATGAGCCTAGAAATAAATGGTCTTACCAGTACCAGCAAGGAAAGTGTCTGGTCCTGTACTAAAGCTTATGTGGAAAATACCTCATTTCCTAAGTCATGTTTGGCTCATAGAAATGAATAAATAAGAGCACCTCTCTCAGTAACAGCTTTTTGATGTTTTCTGGGTTTACATATGGAGCAGAGAAGATGTTAACGTAGGAGTTACATAAGAGGAGTCAGAGCAAGCCTGCTTTGCATGCCATTGCCTGCAGCTTTCTCATGTCCTGTGGTGACTCAGACATTGCTGTAAGCTCCGTGGAGGGACAGTCTCAACTTTTTACCTCTACATTTTCATATCATTGTGTAACAAGCTAGTCATCTGACTCAGGCACTGGCTGAAGTCCTTATTTCAAAGCACTTGTTTTTCTGGTCTTACTTTAAGACCTGGCTCTTGCCAGTCATGGTGTGAGGCACAATGAGTTAAGCAAGGCAATATTGTTTCACCTGCATGGGCTCCATCTGACAAAAGTGCTGATTTTCTCAGCTTGTGCCAACAGAGCATTTAAGCATTTACTTAAACGTGATGGGATTGCTCACATGCATAAGCATTTATCATATGTTTACGTACCCAAAAAAGCAATGGAGCAGTGCTGGGTACAAGCACAGAATTCCAGCTCCAGCAACAGTAAGCCTTCAGTCCCTTTGCTTATGCTTCTTTACTTACTCACGTGTCTTAAAGACTCACAGATAAGGAGCAGAGCATCTTAAGAGATATCCTCCTCTCCTGATAATGCATTCTCCTTTTAGGTCACAGAAATCATTCTGCAGCTACAAAGAAATGCTTATGAATGCAGGATCCTCTAGTGCAACATTTCTTCCTTTGCATTTATTCATATGCTCATTCCTTATCTCAGTAAGGCATTATCAGAGCCAGAAAGTCCCTTCTCCTAAGTCATGTACACAATTGACTAAAATCTGAACTCATAAATTAAGGTTGGAAAAAAATCCCATGGTTTAATACACTTAGGCTTTTACATCTGTGTTTCTTATATTCCATTTCTCCAAATGCATGGAGGTTTTGCAGATGTCTTTGCATCTCAGACACAAATGCCATTGTGATTTATGGAACCCTACTTAAATACATCAAACTGCCTGACTGCAACTTCGTACCACCAGCTTTTACTTCTCCAGAGTGTTTCATATTACTTTCTTTTTTTCTGTATTACCTTCTATGCCACTTCATCACTACATCAAAACAAAACAAGTGGATTAAAGCAGTTTAATGCATTATGGTTAAATATTTCTTTCTAAGGGAGAGCAGACCATTCAGAACACCATTAAGACAGAATCCTGATTGAATCTGATGCAGCCATAAACTATCTTAAATGAATGTTAATAGAGAAGGACAATTATTGTTGACTTCAGAATGCAAACAAGAACTTCAGACACTGATTCCTATCAGCCCATTAGAGCTGGCTGAATTCTGCACAGTTATAACAGTTGCTTAGCAATGGCAAATAAGCTGTTCTGTCCCTTATCACTAGAGGTATAGTTAGAACAATACCTATTATTGAACTGAATAGGTATGAAATTAGTTTATGTTGTTCCTCTTTTTTAGATGGCACTTGGCAGCAAAGTGAGCTGTTTAGGCTGCCAGCAGAAGCCATGTGTTTTTTTTTTTCCTGAAGCTATCTATGGAGATAAAATGAAACTGAGGCTTTGCTGTGGCTGTTTATCTGAAAGCATCATCAAAAAAAACTTTGCTTGTGTTTGTTTGTGTGTGCAGGAAGAAAGAGGTTCTCCTTCAAATGTCTTCTTTGAGTTAATTTCCAGGGATGTGACAACACTAACAACTACAGCCTGTTCAAAAAGCAAATAGGGCAATACTGCATTGCAATGCCACCTCCTCCCTCCTTCCCTCACAGGCACCACCTCTGATGAAATACCTCAGCTCTGATCTGGGGGAACATACTGGAGATGAAGCCACTAAAGCCACTACCCAGAAGAACACTTAAGCATTTGTCATTTACTGTTGCAGTTCCTGTCTTTTAAGTGTGCATGTTCCAAAATGGAGTCCACACAGCTGCAGAACTCAACATCTGCAGCAGCATTCACACCCAGCATGCAGCTGTGCAGCCACCACAGTAGGCAATGCTTAGCAGTGTGGTGTAATTCCTGCTTCTGTAAGGTCTTAATTATGTCTTTCTAGTTAGGATTTGTACTCACAGCTCCTGCCTCTCACAGGAGTAGCCCAATAACATGGCTGTAGGCTACTTTGAGGTAGAAGCTTAGATGCAAGACAAACTGAGCTTAGACAAGTCTTGTACACCCAAGCAAAAATTTGTCAGACTTCAAATCTGGTGCAATAAAGTATGAATTGGTTTAAGTACAGTTGAATAATTTCAACTGAAAAACTGAAGAATGCTTCTACTTTTTCAATAGACTAGTTTTGTAGCTGGTACTTTAGGGCAGTGAAAGAGTTGGGTTTGAATATCTCCGGTTGAGGAAATACTTTAACTTTCATCTTTGTGAATTCTCTAACAGAGAGAAGCACTAAGCTACTGAAGATATAACGTCACTGCTTACTCTGTCTCCAGCTACATTTTATAGAAAATAGACAGCTGCTGTTGGACCCACATAGCTGAACCTTATAGCTGATTCTCGGTGTACAAAGTGTAGCAGCGTTGGTTTATGGTTTGCACATCTTTCCATCTGAAGCAGGTTTGAAGCTATCAGATTCATTACGCCAACAAGCACCCACAATCTGAGAACAATTTAGGGTTTCCTGTGATGCACATCACTCTCATGTTCCATGAAAGGAGCTTCCTACCAACCTCACTGCCTTCCAGAAGGTGGCAAATGCTCCCTAGTTCATTAATAATCCATGTAACTTTCCAGTGTACTTCATGGAAAAAAAAAAAAATCATTCAATTTTTGCTTGAGCTACTGGGTTCTTATTATGCCTACGGTATTAATCAGTCATTTACACTGATTCAAATCATCCAAGTCAATATTTTACTAGTAATTTGATTGCAATAACCAGGCATAGTTGAACATGAGCTTAAAGCTGAAGTCACAGGTGAAAGGTTTGATCAGTCATTCTTACCTGAATTCCTGTCCTGCAGCTAAATATCTGCTTCCAGAAAACTAAATGAAAAAATTAAATTCTCAAGAAGAAATATAAAATGGAGTGGAACTACAAAATTTGCCATTAAAGTTGTAAAGGACTTCACATGGGAGAACCACAGCCTGGAAGATGGGCAGGCTGAAAACGGTCTTTGGCTGTCCAGTCACCAAGTGGTCAGGTACAGAGGGTGCAGTCCAGGGACCAGGCAACAGCGGGGCCATCTGGATGTTGAGGGGGACCTGGAATCAAGACTGACTGTTAGAGGCACATGGGGGGGGTCCCAGGAACCTGGAACATCAGTGGGCTTCCTAGGGGATGTGAAAGCTGGGCTGACCGTAAGTGAGCTATGGTCTTGGTGGAGTGCCTAAAAGGGCAGAGCGCTTGCCAGTCAGACCTTCTCAAAACAAGAACATCATAAGCATTTCCTCCCCAGCTTGATGCACAAAATCTCAGCTGGCCCATACACAGTTTCAGTGATATTAGCAGGATTTCCAGACTTCTACAGTGCAGGTTTGCACAGCCTGAAGTTAGAAAAATTATGAGAACGGAAGTGATCAGGAGAGCAGTCAAAAAAAGTATTTCAAAATAAATGACACAGCAAAGTAGATAAATGAGGTTGTCCTGATCATATTTAAGTCAATAACAAACTTTGTGTTTTGTTTTTGTTTTGTTTTCTTTGGTTTTGTTTTAAAAGAATGTTGCAACAGAAATTCTAGTGTATCTGTACAGAAGCCAGGAGGGGCTAGCCCAAATTTGATGCAGGTTATAAACGGAATTAGAAAAAAGCCAGTGCCAACCATGAGAAACTATGTAAGAGCAAATAATACAAATATAAGAAACTATATAATAATAAATGTCTGGAAAAAGATAAAAAATGCAACAGATTTTCTTTCCAGGTGTGCATAAGGTTATTATTTATAGTTCACTTGTTGTTAACATGACTGCAGCAGAAACATGTGGGCACACACAGTCCTTGCCATGTAGTACTTACAGGTTACACTTCGAAAACACCGAAATGACTGAAATGGTATGAGGACCCTATAGTAAACCCTTATTTGCAATGTCCTCAAAACAGCCCTCAGAAGGGCCAAGCAGAGTTGGCACGTCAGGCTGGTGTGAAATAGCTACAGAGAGATCCCAGTTTTCTCTCATGGGGATGCCTGCTACAAAACAAGGCGTGGGCTTCCCAGTTGTGAAGCGTGGTGGGGTACATGGTGTTTGTGATGTATTAAATAGACAATGTTTCAGAATATTTGAGCATGATCGTAACTAAACATTGGGGTTTTGACCCATCACATAACCCTGCGCACCAAGGAAGTCATCTAAGGCTACAAATGAATCTGTCCCTAAATGCCAACAGATGTTCCAACTCCATCTCTTACCCTCTGTTGTCAAAACTCTTCACAGGACCTTGTAATCTCACTAATACTCACTCTTGAGGCTTGCAGACTAGATTATGGCTTTAAAATACGAGGCTTCCCAGTATCTCTGTCGAATCCTACACCATCTCTGTTGTTGTCTCACATCCCTGAAAAGATTAACAACATTTCCAAGGTTTCAAATATAGATATTTCTTTCCAGAGCTGTCTGCTTTGCCTAGCATGAGCAATGCTGTTTTCATTTAAGTAGCTCTGCCCACATCACTCTATTTTTAAAGCTATGACAATTGTTGCATACCACAACTGTCTAATGGCAGGATCCAGAGTTCTGGCTCTAATAGCTGTCATCTACTGCAACCCAACTGAAAATTTTTATGAGGTCCCCTCATTTACACCAGCCAAGTCTGTGGCATGCAAAGACTGTGTGTCTCAAATCCAGTGTAGGATCCTATTTATGTTCAAGTATACTCAATATAGGAAATGTAATTTTTTAGAAAAGCAAAACAAAACCCAAGCATGGAATCCTGCCCACGCTGAAGTCAGTAACAGTTCTGCACTCCAGTTACCTGGACTGGGGTTTCACAGTGAGGATTTCACTGCCTACTTTGACCTCTAAAATTGTCTGCTAATGTTTCACATTTATAATAGCTTTTTATTAAGTTTTCATGTAATATGTTTTGTGAGCTCTTAAACAAGGATTTCTGAAGGAGGAGGAGGGTTTGCATCACTCACCAGTGAACAGCAATCTCACGCAACTTTTAAGAGAAAATCAGCTCCAAGTGTTTGCAGTAGTTTTGCCACGGAGTAGCTCTCACCTGCAATTTGGTACTCTGCTTCCCATCTCTTGTGTTAAGCTACTGCTGGATGCTGGAATTGAGGTTAAAAGAAAACAGAACAGAAAAAAAGCTGTCTGTATGCAAACTACTGTCAATTCCGCCAACAGATCTTTTCCTCCTTTAATGTGTTATGTATAGTTCTCTCAGGTGTTAATTAAAACAGCAGCATGAGCTTCCAGGAAGTTTTGTGGTGATTTAAATGATTTTTTTATTTTTTTTTTCAATGAGCGTGTCTCTTTGAATCAGTCCTGCTATTACAATGCACTGTTAGCAGGAGGCTTTGTCCTTACCTCATTACAAGAGAAATACTACACACAACATACTTTGCACTTTGTGTTCCTATCAGCGGGCAAAAATGAATACCAAAATTTCCACCTCAGCAACTAAGCACCGCATATACCATGATTACAAGCTATATTACTGTTTCCCATACTCTGGCATCTAAGCTTGGCCTTATCCAACTTCCCCATCAATCACTGCACACGACTCTTTGGTTCCATGTCATCATATTTCCATAATCATTAATCATGTTATCCAATAAATTCTTGAGCAATTATTTAAGTTGCTCTCTTAACAGCTGTCCACTTCGCATATTGCCACCTTGGCTGCTCATTTACCAGCATTCCTTTGATCTGGAAATCGTTCAATCAGATCAATAACATGTAAGGAAAATGCAAATGGTTTGAAACAAGATGAATTCTTTCATGTGGAATATTCACATTTTTAACAAGCCTTTCAACTCTGCAGCTGAAGCTTCTCTTTATAGTGATAAAGTTCTTTATAACGATTTAACAAATTACAGCTAGATAACTGCAAAGCGTATTGCATTTAGCAGCAGAATAAGTGGTGGGTGTGAGGAGGAGCTGGGGGCTCCCAGTCACACATACACTGGCAATCCTCCTTCCCAATGACCCAGGAGACAAGATGCCAGACTTCTGCCTGTGGGAGACAGATGTAGTGAGAGACAAAGGCCATTTGCACATTCAGGTCTGTGGGTAATGGTCTCATTTATCCCTGCGCCTTCCCAGCAGTCTCAGACATGCCTTTCCATTCCTTTGTAGGTCTGCCTTGCAGACTCTTCCCATCAAGCTCTACTGTTCCTTTCCCACCTTTTCCTCCCCTTTCCCACCCCTTTCTCCTGTGCATTGCTGTCGCAGGACTACTGACTTTGGGGATCATTTTTGTTGGTCTGGTTTTGCTGATAGGTTTTGTCATGTGTGAGAGGACCTCTTTGACTTCAGGAAGATATACAGCTCCGGTCTGTCTGTCAAGAAGATGCATGAGGAATAGGCAAGATTACTAAATACAGTTTACTATCTGCAATGACTAAATGCCAAATGCAGATACAAATTGTAAGTGCACCTGGAAAGCTGATTAATTAAAAACCCTGGCACTGCAGACAAATGGTCAAGGTTTGGATGTTACTTTGTCAGTATCATCTTACTCTTCCTAGACTCAGGGCAGATTATCATCAAGATTTTTTTGGCCTCCTCTACTGAAGTTTTCTTAAGGATTTTAGTAGTTTAAAACAACACTTTTTCTGCAGCACAGTTTTCTAATGATACCAATTCTCTTAGTCACAATTTACCGTGGTACTATATTAATTTCCCACCTGAAGAAGACAAAAAGGGAGGAAGAAAAAGTAATATACATCTTTATAAATTATTATATTCTGTGCTTTATTTGTTGAAATGAAGGCTGTGTGATGAATGCTGCTGCATGACTGTGTAGTTCATCATTTTACTACAAACCCCCACAGCTAACATTTGTATTGCAATACTATGCCCAGGCCTCCAGTGAGGCAGTCCCCCATGCTGAATGCTGTACACATATAATGAGTGACAGGCCATTCCTCAAAGACCGTATGAGCTAGACACAAGAGACTCCTTCTAATCAAAGATGTGTCCTTTCTCCAAATGGATGAACAACACATTTTGTTTCTGTGACACTTGTAGCTACAGAAACTCTGGGGAGGCAAGAGGAGGACACTTTTTATGATGCTTTAGGTAGAGGCTGAAGAAAGAAGTCTGCCTTTACAGGACACAGAAGGATGAAGTGAATAGCACTAGAAGAATCTGGAAATAGCTAAAAGCGATCTTCCTGTGGTATGGGTGGAGTACAGACTTCTGTGGCACAGCAGTATGGTTTCACTGCCCCTCATTCAGGGTAACTTATTTGCCTCTTGCCTGTCTTTGCCACTTATCAATAGTTTAGTCCCCAAGTTCCTGCTGATAAATACAGGATATATGTAGAGAGTTACAGGATCAAATACACAACCTATGAATAGGTGTTTGAGTACAACTCATTCTTTTAATGCACATAGTTACTAAAATATGGTAATTCATGTGAGAGTTATGAAAATATGTATCTGTATAACATCTGCACTGACTAGGTAATGTAAGGGTGTAATACTTGATCTCAACTTCAAAATTTTATTTTAAAAGTTTGTTCAAATCTGATGCAATTTGGTACTTCCCTCTTGGCAAGATACATCATAACCTAGTCCTGAAAGAGTAGAAAAATTGGGAAGACTGTGAAAAGGTTCCTGTTACATGTGATTTATATATCCAGTTGAAATCCAGGACACCTTCTATTCAGGTCAACGTGAACACTGCCATTGAGCTCAAAATGGGCAATATGACTTCCAAACAGAATATTACAGAATGGTTAAGCAAATGACAAATAGGTGAGTTGAAAACTGACTAGTATAATTGGACAGTGCTTTGGGGGGACGTTCGATACCTTGAAGTACAGCTCTGTGCTGAGTAAAACATCCTTATTGCAAAGATTTTGCTCTTAAGACATGCAGAAGAAATCTGTAGGCATAAGAAGATGCACAAATTACAACAGCAGGTCATGTCACAAGTTGGCATAATAAATGGCATAGTATCTTTGGCTTTGGCAGCTTTCATGAAGCTTTCATGAGTTCATGCGAGCAATGAGAATTTCTACCGCTATGACACTGTCCATTGCATGTTTCTGAACTGTATGAGGTACAGTCAAGTTGTGAGATAGCTAATACTAATGTGAAATTTTGGGGAAAAAAGGTTGTTGACCACCACTGGGGAGCCAGCTAGGTGTTTAAACATATGTGTCTAGTGCCACTTTAAAATTCCTTAGGATTTCTCAAGATGGTTGCCAAGATGACTCTTCAAGGTGACCATAGAAAGGATGCAAAGGGACACGTGATAACTGTTAGCTCATCTGACTACAATAGTACTTAATAGCTGCTAGTAGGATCCCAAAACCCACTGCTGCCCTCCATGCAGAAGAAAGAAAAATGCTCCTAAGTGCTAAGCAGCAGCAGCAGCAGCTCAGCAAAAGCATGCAAATGTGAGTGGAGGAAGTTATGTGTAGGGGTAATATTTAAGTTGAAAGAATAAAATTGGGAGGAGGAAGAAATAAGAGAGATGGCTTGGGGGAGGAAGGAATAGCATGGAATAGATGTTCCTTTTGTGGCATATATAATACTACCACTACAAAATCTGCTTCCGAGAGGGACATGGCCTGGCCAGGCAGGGAGCTGCTGCTGCTGGTGCTGCTGACAGCAGTGGCTAGCAAATAAAGTGTGGTAAGGGGGCATAGCACAGAAAATGAAAGAGTGTCAAGGGAATGAGATATAGCTGGAAAATGAGAAAAAAGACGTTCAAGTCCATCCCATTTTACACAGATTGCAGTGGGAGAATGGTGTTTTCTGATGATATGAGCCAGTGCTCACCAGTCTTGCCTGATGGACACTAGCCCATGTTCCTGAGGCAAAAACCAGCCTGGCCTTGCCCTGTGTTTATCCCTGTGATTCCTAGTCACTTGTATCTGTTCTCTTTGTTACTTTCCAGACAGGTGCCAGTAAAATGAAGGTGGCTGACACTCTTTTAGATAGTTTTTAAACTGGATTTCCTTCTTTAATTTTGTTGGGTTTAAGGAATGGCATTTACATATTGACTTATACAGAGATGTTCGAATACCATACTAGAGGACCTCAGTGATTCATACAAATAGCTTTTGGACTCACTAAGAAGGAAGACAACCAAACATGCTAATAACAGCAAGCATCAAGAGCCATAAAATATTACCTGAGACTTGTACCTTAATTCCAACTGTATCATCACTAAGCTCTTTAAAGGCTACTGCAATATCCAAAATGCCATAAAAATCTTTTGACTCTGTCTTGCTTAAAATTAGTGAATCCTTTGTACTGTGGTGACAGCTGCCTATGAGCTAGAAAATTGCAAATCAGTTTAGCACAGGGTGATCAGGTACAATAATTAACAATTTTACTAGAGTATGTCAGAGACTAAGAAATGAGAGTGAAATCCTGATCCTAGTGAAACCAATATTCTCAGGGACTTAAGGGGTCAACTCTTCACTCTCCAAGTTTTATATCATCTGGATAAAGATTTTTTAATATGATTGCATAAATAATATAACTGTATTGGTCTCTTGGCAAAAAGTATTTGTTTATATGAATAGCTGTTACAAAAGTATGTCAAGAGGAAATGTTTCAAAGAACATGCATGATGCTGTAACAAAAAAATCTATTATAATGTCTCATTTTCTATTAAGTAACTGTAAAATATTTTACTCTTTCTGGTTTTTGTTTTTGTTTTGCAATTTGTTTGGTTTCCAAAACATTTGAAACTGAAATCGGGCAATGTACAGATAGTTGCAATGACTGAATCTTATTTAACCTGGTGAGAGGCTTTCAAAGAGCTGGTCTCTATCAGTGATCCCAGTAGTATGGACATCATTGCTGATACTCTACAGTCTGGGGTGATACAAGCTAGCATTTGTATTCCTGGATCACATTTCCCACAATGGTTCATCCTCTTAAGTTCTTCTTAGGTGTAGCTCACCCAGATGCTCTGTTTCCACTTGTGGTTCACAGTTGCTACTAATGAAGTGAGTTTATTTCTTAAAAACCAGCTTGCACTGCTGGATGTTAATGTCTCTTCTGGCATTGCTGTTTCTAAGCAATAAACAAAGTCTGCAACCCAAACCCAGGGTAAAAGTAACAGGGAAGTGAAAGCGTATGAGCTATGAGAAACTATCCAGAATTAATTCTATCTGGAAGTATCCTAATAACAGTAGCTCCTTCACTCACAGCCTCAACTCATTCCACCAGGAAAAAATTAAAGCTGGAAGCAAAGCACTCTTAGGGCTCAAAGGCAAGCAGACAGATGGAACTGCGGAGTAAATACAGGCAGACTGACAAGGCACAAAGCTGCTTTAGAAATAACTTCCAGTAGCAGAAGTCTACCAACAGGGAAAGGTCATTTGTAAGGTTTGTTTAGACCAAGGAAAGACTAAACACTGTGTGCAGCTCTGTGGCTTTCTAAGACAGAAGAGGTTTTCCACAGGCCACCAACTTCTTCTTTGGGAAACATGGACAAGATATTTCAGAAGTCCTGTCTAAAAACATGTAATGAAGCATGTAGAAAGTAATACAATGATTTTTTGAGTCAAAAGTGGCTTGTAACAGGGAAGTTTACTCATCTTCCCCAGCAACGATATTACGTAAGTAAGTGGAAGGGGTATTGGAGAGATCACACATGCTGAGAACTGCAAAAGCCAATTGGCTTCTTTAGCTTATCACTTCCAAGTAAGTGGATGGGGTTCTACTTCTATGGTTTTGCTTTGTGTTCTGTTACCAATTGTCATGGAATTAGAAGCACTCTTCTTCAACAGCCATCTCCTATGGAAAAGTTTCTTTTCCTCCCCTCTTTAATTTCTGCATATCCAGGGATGAAATCTCTCCACATTAACCAGAGTACTGGCTGGAAAAAGATGACCCTGAATGTGTAAGCACAAATGACTACCAGGCTTTTCATGACACCAGTAACCCTGGAAAGCTGTGTCCATCACTAGAGTTGGCAGAAGAAAACTTTTATAGCCCCTCTGTGGCTTGGTTTTGATAAAGCAGCTGCTACCTTACACTCGTACTTCATGCCATCCTTTGTGTTGCAGCAGGTGTACGTAAATCATGGAAAAAGCAAGATGCCTATCTGCTGGGTGCCAGCATTCAAATAACACTCAGAGCAATCTCTGCTGTGCAATGTAAATAGACACGGCCTTAATTTTTTAATCCCTCGTCCGTACTCTCCAGTACACAAGGTATGTAACAAGGATCATTATTTTTTCCATTCAGTGCTCAGCCAATTTTGGCTCATTTTTGTTCCTGGAGATCTCTACTGTGCATCTTATATATACTTAAAATAAATACACCATCTGTAATTGGATCCTAACCAGCCAACACTAAACAATCCTGTCTTCAATGATACTCAAGATGTGTTTCTAATATGAGCAGAAGGCTCTTCTTTATGCTTTAGCCAGCAATTAATAGAGGGTATATTTGTTACCAATATGTAACAAAACTTACTATAAAATAAAAAAAAAAAAAAAAAAAAAACCACTTTAATTTACACTTTAACCCAACTGGAGAAGATATTCATAAGCCAGGCAAAGAAAATGTCCAGAAGAAATAGCTATTCAGTCATTTCCCATTTATCATTTGCTCAGTCACATTAAAACATTTGAAATCTGTATTATTTTTCTCCTTTAGATGAAGTGCTGAATTTTTCTGAAAGGCTGCATTTTTGTTCAGGATTGCGTTGTTAGGATTTTGCTTTACAGTGGCCATATGTTTCGGCATATAAATTCAGATCTGAAAAAAACAAACAATTACCTGAGATAAGGCATAGGAGATTTGCAACCCCTTCTCACTATTTCTGTTTCTCTTGTTGGCTGATGAAAACAGACCAACCAGCCTCCAACTCTGCTTATTTGCATCAATGCAAACATACACAAGCTGCATGCACATCACAAATTTTCTGAGCACGCTGTGAGTGGTAAAATATCCTTTAACCTGTTTTTATCATTCTCTTTTACAGCCAGCTTCCTGCATTCATTTAAAAAGAGACAAAATAAGCATTACAGTCCTGGTTGTAATCATGACATTTCATGAAATTAATATTATCTATTATACAAGGATGACATTACATACTGTGCTATTTAATTAGCCATCTAATAGCTTTACTGACCTCTTGTATTTCTTCTTTCCAGCCTGCTTTTTATGTTTTGTGCTTGCATGCATTTTTCCCTAATTTTGTTTTCTATTTCTTTCATTTATGAACAGGCTTTGTTACACAGGAACCTGTCAGCTTTCTCTTTGGACTGTACCATCCCACCATCTGCAGATGGGACTGGGTTGCATCAAGGCTACCTTTACTCAGGTATCGCCTAGTGACTCAGACTGTCCTGCTTACTAGACACTCTCTTGTATGGAAAGTCTTTTCATGTCCCTAGCTGGATACAGGCTTTTGTTAACTCATCCTGTATGTGTGTTAACTCAGTTGAGAGAAAGAAGGCTAGGGAGGCTGGTGAAATAAAGACTTGAGAAATAGTCTAAGGAAAGCACTTGAGCTGAAACAGTGAAGAGAGGTGGTGGCTGGCACAGGGACAGTTAGGACACACTCCATAGCGGATACCCATCTTCATCCAGAATCCACTCTTCCTATGGAGCACTCAGTGCTAGAGGAAAAGGCTGAGAATTTTCCATGCGTGGTCACTGCAGTCAGAAGAGCAAACTAACAGTTTTGTGGTGTGTGGGAATTCCTCCTTTCACTCTATGGATCTGCACTGTCAGTGTTCTCACAGAAATTCACTGTGCCAGATGAAAGGGAAACTATTCTCATACTCCTTGCTGGCTGTGCTATATAGGGGAGGGATCCTTCCCTCCTATTCATGTCTTAGACCCCTGTGAGGACCATATTCTAGCATAGAGGCCAGCAGAAAAATCTGACATCCCTCATGGCAGAAAGAAAGGAAAGCTTTTTCCCAACAAAAGGGCTAGTCATGCCATTTACCCTCCAACCAACTAAAAATTTCCCTTATGCAAAGTTAAGAAGAGGGAACCAGACAAGCAGAAAGACTTCAGGATTTTTCTTTTCCTTTTCCCACTGCATAGTTAGAGGAATAAAAGCAGATATCTGTGAAAAGCCACCATGGACTGAGCCTGCAGTCTGATAAACAACAATAACCTTTTTCTTGACACTAATTCCTTTATTATATTTTTAGAAGAATTTAAAAGCCACTTATTTTTGAAAACTATGATTTCAGGAAAAAGTATAATTTTCACATTTCCTCTGATGTGTTGTATGCCCTGCTGTGTTATGACATTTCAAGTTTCATCAAGTCACATTAATTTACATTCTCACATGTTTTCTCAGTGGAACCTGCTCTTTGGGTCTATTTTATTCATTGCTTGATCACTTTAATGTATTTGTATTACTGAATACTTGGGCCATATTAACTGATCTTTTCATACCCCATGCTTGCAATTCATTAGCAATCATTTCTCTTCTCTGCACGAAGAAAGGAAAAAAGAGATGAGAGAGAGGGAAAATGAGAGAAAGACAAAGACTTGGGAAGAAAGTGAACAGCAATTTAGTACACAGCCTGGGATGCAGCCTGCTCTGCTGCTTGGGATTTGGTTATATTGGGAAATTTTCTCTGGTGTGACCAGCACAGATTGATGAGCCAGTAGAAACCTGAGTAATAAATGCAGTTAACTGGTGTAAGCCATTCTTTATTTCAGCTTTTGTAAGCTTGTTCAAAGCAGTGCAAATACGTTTGTGTTAGAGATTTGTGTTAAAGTAAAACAGTCTCTTGGATCCCATTAGTGTAGAAAGCCAACAAATTTTCCAGGCTTATGCAATTCTGATGTGGGGGAGAGCTGGGCACCAAGCTTGTTTGTGATCTTGTTCCTCAGCAGTGTTTTGTTGCCCATGCCTGAGCTGGAGCTTGAGAAGAGGCTCAAATTCCCAAATTTGAGCTCCTAAGTTCAGTCTGTTCAGAGCAGCCAGCACAGCTGATGTACAGTATTGCCATCCTTCATCTCCTGACATAGATAAAGTTCAAATGATAAAACACTAAGCAAGAACCAGTTTTGTCTACCCTTTCCCTATGTTTATTAATTGAATGACTGAATGAACCATGGTGTTTCTCCCCCATCTTGCCACCCTCTTCTTGAAAGTGGCACATGAATACAAAGTAAGTGATCAGGCACTCAGAAAGCTTTGCAGCCTCTCAGTAAACTCCCATTCCCTCTTCAATATAAGGATGCTTGATCTTCCCTGGTAGTGCTTTCAAGTCCTTACTGCATAACACAATGAAAATCAGGCAAGATGTGCTCTTACGTGTAGGCAGCTGCCAATCCTCCTGTACAGAAACCTGCAGCAGGGGTTTCAATGACCGTGCAAGGTGCGAGTCTTTTTCAGCCATGCTGTAGCCAAACATGATGAGGGCTGGAAGCGTCAGGCTTTGGATGGAAGGGAGTCTCCTGCACTCTAGAAAAATCATGTTGCCTTCAGCTCTCTGTCAGTGAAGAGTACATACAGCTCAGTCCCTCTGCTCTTAACACACTCCCTTGACTTATCCTATATTGAGATGTTGCCTGTAACCCCATCTTTCTGAATTTGAAGCCAAGCTCCATATCTACACAAAAGTGGAGCCTGCAGCAACATAGCAGGTTGTGACATATTTCCCCACCTATATCCATGTGCATATACACCTACCCCTCCCACCCCTACCTCTGGCAGTGAAGACATTGCTTAGAGTCCATCTGTTGTCTAATCTCAAGCTCTCCATCACCTGTCCTAAAAGCAGCTCCACCAGTGGAAGGAGACAACTCTTGGGGTCAGGAGTTGTCCAAGATAAATGTTTCTGGCATTTTTGTTGCATTGTCATAAAGCTGTTTGGAGCCATCAGGCCACACAGTACTGTAGAGCTGGATGTCAATTCAGACCTCTTCTCTGACCTCTGATAAATCTGCAGGAGCTTCCAGGAAGGTTAAACACTGGTAAACCAATTAGGACAGAGGGGAGAGTCTCATATGTGACCACAGACACAGTCAGCCCAGCCTGCCCACTTTGATGTCCTCCTACCTCTGAATGAGGAAGATGATGCTAAAGCTTTCCATAGAGGGTTGAATGGAGCAGCCTGATGTATCAAAGCCTTGGGGAGAGGGGGGCAAGGAAGGCTTATCCTAGCCTGTATTATCACTGATGGCAAGTGATTCCGGTGCCACATGCCCAGTAGGGGAGTGATCAACACAGCCCAGGGAAAGCAGCACAGATATGACAGCACATCTGTTATCCACTGAATACTGGTGACAGAATGGAATGTAATCTGTGTGTTTACATTCAGAGATTAAAGACAACAAGTGGCTCCAGCAGGACGTGCTGTCCTGCAACGGAGAACAGAAAAGGATGCTTACGTAAGATGGGCTGGCAGCAGTGCCCAGGAGGAACAAGTGGACTCATTTTCTCCTGCAGGCAACACAGAAAGGGATTACTACTGGGGGGGGAGGATAGGCAGGAACAGGGAGATAGAAATTAGGAGTCCAGATGTCTACTCTCTATATGCGGTTTCGAAGGGCTTTGGAAATAAAATAGAAAAACCCCTACTGTTTTATGCAGTGAAGTCAGACATCTATGCAAGGAGTCCACACTTACTCAGGACTGAGATTTTGTTATATGACCTTAAACAAAGCTGATCAGCTGGACTGAGTTTCCTCAGTCTTCTCCACACCTGTGAACCTGAGATGCAGATTTTGCAGAGCTAAAGGTCAGTCCCTCCCTTCCGCTGGGATGCAGCTGTCTAAAAGTCTTGTGTCCTTTAAAGATCCCAGAGTACAGGGTGGCAGACCTGTAAGGGAAGCACGGGCTGGTGGGATCCCCTCATTCACAGCTTTAGCAACTGCAGTCTGTATTAACCCTGCTTCAGGAATCAGTGCCCATAGAGCAATTCAACCCATTCTGGAACCTAAATGCAAAAAGGGACAAGCTTCTGTTGGCTGCAATACAGTCAATCAGAATATAAAGAGTATTGCTAGTAGTACTCAAGCTTAATTAGGGCTGGGAGCAGGAAAACCAAAATGCCAGAGGCTGCCTTACCTTACCACTTAGAGGAATATGATTCCTGACACTAACAGACTAGAAGAAAAATATAGTTTAGAAGCCTTGTGCCTTCCAAACACCAGGTGCAGCACTATTGATATCTTAAATAGACTGTGATTGACCTTTTAACTCCTTTTTGTGTCTTTTCTCATGGGAGGTAGCAATCATTTCTGCCATGCTGAAAACAGAAAAGTTGCCATATGTGTGTGCCCAAAGGTTTATAAAATAGGAGAGGAGAATAATAAACAAAACCAAGAGGCACTCTGCTTGCTATTACTCCCCTGGTCCCTCCTTTAAGCCACTTTCTGTATCCTTAAAGATGCCATCCTACTGGTGGTAAGCAGCATGGTGGGAGCCTGTCACAGGAAAATGTGCCCAAGTCCTATTTTACTTACTGCCAGTTGACAGCACGACAGAAAATTATCCCTAGCCAGTCAGCATAGCACAGTTACTTTTTGAGTGATGTGCACTGCACAGTATATGGAGAGTGAGATCAATGGAGGACAATAGAAATCTAAATTGACAGTACACTAATAATTGTTGGCATTAACTAATCAGATGGGATTTTAAAGTTCACACTGTGAACATTGATATTTTCTGTGTGATGGGAAGACAGTTTGAACTATTTTTTCTATTAATAAGTGTTTGAAAGGCTGTTAGAAGAAATTATTACTGTAGTAATCAGAGCTCTCTGTGTGAAACCATTTCATAGGCTTTGAATTTTGCAAAGCAGGAGATAGTCTGTATTGAAAATAGTATGAGCCTTTACCTGGATATCTAATAACATTGTGAAAGTTATATTTGCCTTAAATTATCTTTTAATTCATGCTGTTTTTGGGATAAATTCTGTAAGCCAGACAGGGCCCAGGGCAAGGGTTTCTGCCACCCTCCACTGATGGACAGTAACTCTGCCCTACTCCCCAGCCCCTCTGCAGACTTCAGCAGGCAGTGCTCTGCCAGGGTACAGCTGCCCATATAGACTGTGCCAGGGCTTTGCTGAGGGTAACAGAAACAAAAGGTGCCAGCCATGGGTGCTTATGATAAAACTGCTAGATGCCACTGGCTTATGTGCCTGCAGCCCCGAGGGACCCTGCATCAGCACCACAGTGGGTGCAGTTATGTTTGTGTAAGCAAACACTGTCACATTTATCTTCTCTCTAATGAAGGTCAAACCATATCAGATTTAATGGCATCTTTAGACTACAGTGCACACAGGGTAAGAGATTCCCCTGTCTGCACAGGTGTCCAGTGCATCAGCTAGGGTTTATGCAAGAACCTGACTGGTTCTTGCTAATATAAACATCTTGGTTTCATAAAGACGAGAGTGCGTCATAGAATCATAAAATCATTTAGGTTGGAAAAGACCCTTAAGATCATCAAGTCCAACTATCAACTTAACATTACCAGGTCTGCTTCTCAAGCAGTTGTGTGATTAGTGCACATAATTTAGCATCAGGTGGCTACACAGAATGGCTCTAGCTCTCACTTGGACTGGGAAATATTGTTATTCCCATTTCCTGGAGTAGACCCCGAGACTAATACTGTAACTTGTACTGATGTTCAACGGTGTTGTGCTAGCTACTCCATGTGAAATCCAAACCAACTTCCCTTTTGCCAAAGAATTATATTTATGACATAATACAATATTGTGCAAGAAGGAGTCTGGAAATGAGCACTTGACACTCAGCCCATATCAGAATAGATCTTGAGTCAAGCTAAAAACAACTGTTAACACCTTATGATACTCCTTTCCTGCAGCCTGCATGAACAGATTCACTCCTGCTTTAAATTAAATCTTTTCATTCCGGATAGAATACACCCACGGGTGCTGAGGGAGCTGGCAGAGGTCATTGCTTGGCCACTCTCCATGATCTTTGGTAAGTCGTGGGAAATGGGAGAGGTTCCTGAGGGTTGGAGGATGGCAAGTGTCACACCAGTCTATAAGAAGGGCAAGAAGGAGGACCATGGTAATTATAGACCAGCCTTACCTCCATCCCTGGAAAGGTGATGAAACAACTTATTCTTGGCACCATCTCTAGACATATCAAGGATGAGGGGGTCATTAAGAGCAGCCAACATGGTTTTACCAAGGGGAGGTCATGTTTGACCAACCTTATAGCCTTCTATGAGGAAGTAACTAGGTGGATGGATGATGGAAGAACGATAGATGTGGTTTTCTTTGATTTCAGTAAGTCATTTGATACTGTCTCCCACAGCATCCTCATAGATAAGCTAAGGAAGTGTGGGCTTGATGGTCAGGTAGTGAGGTGGATCAAGAACTGGTTGGAAGGAAGAGTTGTGGTCAATGGTGCAGAGTCTAGCTGGAGGTTTGTGACTAGTGGAGTACCTCAGGGGTCGGTGCTGGGACCAGCACTGTTTAATATTTTCATCAATGACCTGGACGAGGGAACCAAGTGTACTCTCAGTAAGTTCGCTGATGATACTAAACTGGGAGGAATGGCTGACACACCAGAAGGCTGTGTTGCCATTCAGTGAGACCTGGACAGGCTGGAGAGTTGGGCGAGAAGTAACTTGATGAAATTCAACAAGGGCAAGTGTAGAGTCCTGCATCTGGGCAGGAACAACCCCATGTACCAGTACAGGTTGGGGGTTGACCTGCTGGAAAGTAGTGAAGGGGAAAGGGACCTGGGGGTCCTGGTGGATAGGAGGATGACCATGAGCCAG